TGCAGGAGGTGTTCCACATTGGGGGTTGGCGGCGGCTGCAGCCGTGATTGGGGGCGGGCGGAGGAGCGTGCGTTTGTATACTCTGAGGGGAAAAGGGCAAGGGGGCCGAGCCGGGCTCCGGCCTGCTGACCTGGGTGATGGGGTCTGAGGGCAGCTCCTGCCTCATGGCCGCAAGCGCGGCCTTGCCCGTCGCCGCGGCCGCAGCTGCGCCCGTGCTCGCGCCGGCGTCAGCGGCGGTGAGGGTGCCGTCCGCGCTGTCCTTGACCCATGTGACGTGGTAGTCATGGATGTACCTTTGTGGGGTGGGGTGGGGGGTGAAACCAGGTTCGAGGGAGCACGTTCAAGACAGGGGTACAGTTGGATGGGGGCAGAAAGGAGCGTGGATCAGAGGGGAGGGGGGGGCTTAGATCAGAGGGGAGACATCCCTGCACCCCGGAGGGATGCCTCCCATGAAACTGTGCGGATGCGCCGCAAGGAGGGGGCCGATCGCTGTCTGATGAAGGGGCTGCGGCGGGCACGCAGTATCCTGGCCATCATCAGGGGGGGCCTGCCCTGCAGCGCAGCGCCCCGCGGATCCCGCCGGCACCGCCAGCACTGCCAGCGCCGCGAAGGGGCGATCTGGCCGCGGCTGGGCGGGTGTGCTGGGCCGGGCAGGCGCGCACGCATAGGCGGGCGGGACATGGCGCGCCGCGCACTTTGCGTCGAAGGCCGCCTCGCAGTACGCAAAGTAGAACTGGTACTTCAGCCAGAACCGCTGGGAGTAGCCTAGGGACAGCACAGCCTTGGGTGCGATGTCGGGAGGTGCAGGTGGGCCGAGGAGCAACGCGGGTTATGATACATGGCGGGATGCTGCAAGGACAGCGCATCGAGGGCTGCTGAGACACCTAGCAGGCTGTGCAGGCGCCCTCGCTTTGCGCGAGCCAAACCCCGGCCGCCCCCAAGCAAGCGACCGTGCGCTAGGTAGCCGGGGCCGCCCACACCGCCGCCCTCCCATCGGCTGGGCCGGCCGGGGGCGATGCGGGCGTCGCACCTCCTTCTCGCGCTCCCAGGCCGCCCTCCAGGCGCGCAGCGTGATGGCGTAGTCCGGCCCGATGTCGCGGACGCGGCGCACGCTCAGGCCCGTGCCGCGCGCGGCCTCCACCATCGCGCCCATGCTGCGGGAC